CCTGCCTCTCCCAATGTAGTCATGGGTCATGGGAAGTTGTGGCCCACTGAATTTCTCATTCTCTGGTTCCAATTGCACAGTCATTCATGACCGTGAGACAGAGGCATCGGTAGTCTTAGCCTGTTATTATTGGATAATCAAGTCAGCTAATTTCGGGGTATGATTCCATGTGTATCAATTTACCTTTCCATGTGTATCAATTTACCTTTCCATGGTCATGCAGCTTGACCACAGGGAAAGAGAGAATTGGTCATGTTGAGGTATTTATGGTCTCCATGACAGTTATATTTCTAATTATAAATGATAGGAACAAGGTTAATTGGTGAGTATTTACATTTCCTCCACATCCTCAACCCATCAAGATCTTTGCCTTCAGCAGTTTTATTTCTAGGACTTTTGTATTACAGAATCTGAAGAATGGGCAGATAAAAATGGTATTGGAATAGGGAAAGGGGGAAAAAGAATAACTTTACAGTAGAAAAATCTAGCAAACACTACCTCAGCCAGATAATCAAGGTTACCATCCTCAGGAATAAGACATATTGAGCATGCGGGTCCTTGATACGATGTGATGAAAACCTCTGGGTTTTCTCACAAAAACTCATAATCCCAATTTTGTCATGAGACAAACCCCAATTGAGGGGGAGCCGACACAATGCATGAACGTGTCAAAATTGACAAAGTCATTGAAAACGAGTCTGAGGCACTGTTACAGTCTATGAGACTACATGATGACTAAATGCAATGCAGTGTCCTGCATGGGATCCTGAAACAGTAAAAAGGACATTAAGTAAAAATTGTGGCAATCTGATTGCAGTGTAGTCTTCAGTGAATAATAATTGTATAAATATTAGGTCATTAATTGTGACATAAAGGCCACAACTCATAGATCTTTAGAGGTATCACACTAATAGAAAATGTTAACAACAGGGGAAACTGGGAACGGAGAATATTAAGACTCTCTGTACAATCTTTGCAACATTTTTTGAAACCTAAAATTACTCTAAAATAAAGACTTATTCTGAAATGGTATTGAGGCCAGGAGCAGAGGCTCACACCTGTAATCCTAGCACTTTGGGAGGCTGAGGCAGGTGGATTGCTTGAGCCCAGGAATTTGAGACCAGTTTGGGTAACATAGTGAAACCTCATCTCTACAAAAATTTTTTTTAAAAAAAGTAGCCAGGCATGGTGGCATGCAATGATAGTTCCCAGCTACTCAGGAGACTGAGGTGGGGGAGGTCGAGGCTGCCAGGAGCTGTGATCATGCCACTGCGCTCCAGCCTGGGTGGCAGGGTAGGATCCCAAGTTAAAAAAAAATGACACATGAATTAACTAAAAATGGATAATAGACACAAGTGTAAAGTGCAAGACTATAAAGCTCCTAAAAGACAACACAGGAGAAAATCTAGACAACCTTGGGTATAGCGATGACTTTTTAGATGCAACGTAAAAGGCACAAACATGAGGAACAAAACTGATAAGCTGGACTTCATTAAAATTAAGAGCTTCTGCTCTGTAAAAGACACTTCTCGAGAGAATGAGAAGACAAGGCGCAGAGGGGGAGAAAATATTTGCAAAAGACATATCTGTTAAGGGACTATTACCCAAAATATACAAAGAACACCTGCAACTCAACAATTTAAAAAGATGGAAAAAGACTTAAATGGCCACTTCACCAAAGAAGATATACAGATGGCAAATAAACATACGAAAAGATGCTCACCTGAATTTGTCATCAGGGCATTGCAAATTAGGATGAAAGTGATCTACCATATACACCTACCACAATGGCCAAGATCCAAAACACTGATGACACCAAATGCTGCCGCAGATGTGAAGCAGCAGAAACTCTCATTCATCGCTAGTGAAAAAATGGCACAACCAATTTGGAAAATATTTTGGGAATTTCCCATAAAACCAAATATACTTATCATACAATACAGCAATCGTGCTCCTTGGCGTTCACTCAAATGAGTTTAAAACTGATGTCGAGGCCGGGCACGTTGGCTCAGCCTGTAATCCTAGCATTTTGGGAGGCCAAGGTTAGAGGACTTCCTGAGCCCAGGGGTTCAAAATCAGCCTGGGCAACTTGGTGAGACCTTGTTTTTACAGCAAATCACAAAAACTAGCTGGGCGTGGTGGCTCACGCCTGTTGTTCCAGCTACTTGGAAGGCTGAGGCGGGAGGATCGCCTAAGTCCAGCAGGTCGAGGCTGCAGTGGCCGTCGGCGTGCCACTGCACTCCAGCCTGGGCAACAAGAGCAAGACTCCAAATAAAGCCCACCCCCCAAAACTGATGTCTATACCGACATCTGCACAAAGATGTTTACAGCCACTTTATTCATACTAGCAAAACTTGGAAGCAACCAAGATGCCTTTCAGTAGGCAAATGGATATATTGTGATACATCTAGACAAGGGAATATATATTTTTGACAATGGAGTATTATTCAGTGCTAAAAAGACTTGAGCTATTAACCTATGGGAAAAAAATGGAGGAAACGTTAGTGCCTATTACTAAAGAAAAGAAGCTAATATGAAAAAGCTACATACTACATGATTCTAGCTAAATGACATTCTAAAAAAGGCAAAACTATGGAAGTAGTACAAAGACCAGTGGCTGCCAGGGGTTAGGGAGCAGCAAGAGATGTGTAAGTGGAACACAGGACATTCTGGGGACAGTAAAACTTTTCTGTATGATATTATAATGGTGGAAACATGTCATAATACATTTGTCCAAATTCATAGAATGTACAACACCAAGTGTGAACCCTAATGCAAACTGTGGACTTTGGTGATAACGAGATGTCAACAGAGACTCATCGACTGTAATAAATGTGCCACTCTGGTGGAAGGTTGACAGCAAGGAGACTGTGTGTAGGGGGCCAGGGAATATATGAGAGAACTTTCTGAACTTTTCACTCAATTTTGCTTTGAACCTTAAACTGCTCTAAAAATGAAAGTCTATTGAAAAAGATGCAGTGTAAGGCTGGATGTGTAGGGTCAGGCTTGTCATCCCAGCGCTTTGGGAGGTTGAGGCAGGAGGATTGCTTGAAATCAGGACCTTGAAATCAGCCTGAGCTATAATATAGCTAGATCCCAACTCTACAGGAAAAAAAAAGAACTAGGTATGATAGTGTGTGTCTGCAATCCTAGCTGCTCTGGAGGTTGAGGAGGGAGCATTGCTTGAGTCCAGGAGTTTGAGGCTGCGGTCAACTGTGATCACACCATTGCACTCCAGCTTGGGCAACATAATAAGACCCCATTGCAAAAATCCTTTTTTTTTTTTAATTGTGAGAGAACCTGCTGAAAAAAATGAAAGGACGTAGGCTAAGACATAACAAAGATCTGACATCCCTAAAAAAATACGTATATCTCTAGGGTCAGATCATTAGGCTACAATAAGGTCAACAAGGACAAGGACTGTGGCAGTTTTGCATATATCTCCATTTCCAGTGGCTGTCACCAAGCCTAGAACATAGAAGACCCCTAGTAAATATTAATTAAATAAGTACACGAAATTCCACTTATTTCATGGAATTTTTTTCTGATAACTCAACTGGATTAAATTGTTCTATTTTTATGTACTTCTCAAAAAGTTCTGCTTTTTAACAAATTTTATTTCATGTTTTATTATATGTTTGCATGCGGTTGGTTCACATTATCCTCCATAGACCTAAATGCTCACGTGTACACACACACACACACACACACACACACACACAAGCACACACATGCAACTGAAAGCTCTTTGTAGACAGATTGAGGCTTAGTTGTATTTTTCACCTGGCAACACTTAGCTTGGGTTTTGAATGTGGTGAGCATTCATATGTGCTTCTTTAATTGAGTTTATTCTGCCATGACCTGTTTAAAATTCACATTCGATAGTAGTCGTGTAACAAATACAAATTATTAAGCATTAAATTAATATGAGATAAATATACTCGTTAATTTAATTCAGTGTCTAAATACTTTTGGCAAGAGACTCTATATTGTATCGGTACATTCTGTGTTACTGGTTTGTGATTCTGGGAGTGTTTAGTATGCTATGGTAGAATCAGTGCCATTGTTTAGCATTTAGAAGCCTATTTGATTTCCCTGGAAATTTTCCTATACCAAACAGCAGGTTATGTGGAAAGAGTTCTGGGCCAGTGGGAATCTGGAGACTGGGTCCCGCCTAAGTCCCCGAGTTTAGCAAATTGTGTGCCACTGTTTATTCATTTCACAGCCGTGGCCTGAGGCAGCTCTTCTTTAAAATATAAAATGGACCAGCAAATCTCTAGGAACCTTCTCCCTCCAATATTCTTTGTCATTTAAAACTCTTAGATAATCAAATTAGATCTTTACATTTCAAGCCAGTTTCTTGCTTGATGCATTTTTCTGGCCACAAGATGGCGGGCTTTGTGTTGTTTTCTTCGTTCTCTAACAGCAAAACGAACTTTTAACCCCCTTTGCAGTTTTGAAAATGTAAAACTCCCAGTTCCTTAAAAAGACTGATAAATGCAAAGTGAACATTACAGTCTAACTTTTTAAAGTGTCTCAAATGCCCTTCACGATAAAGATTTCCTCTTTTGTATGGGAATACCGACTTAGACTTGTATTTCTATACAAATGTAAAAATCCCACCGGTGAGATCAAGGAGACTACAAGTGTTTTCATTTGTTTTTCTTTTTCTTTGCCTAACCAAATTAATGCTTTTGGAATTTAAAACTGATGAAAATTGTACTGTGGAGGCTACGCAGTAAAGTTCTCAAAATCCATTGTCATTCTGGTATTTTGAGCCTTTGCTCTTGACACCTCTCAAGTATCCAAGCTTCTTTTGCCTGTGCTACTAGGTTCCACCATTTGACTTGCAGTAGGAGCAGCAAGACATCACACATCTATTTCATACACCAAATTGAGAATCAGGAAGAACAAGATTTGCCTTTCAGAACTTTGAAGTGATTCTTCTCACTTTACATAATCTCTCTGCTTTCAGAAGATTCATGATTTTGCCAACTTACCCTGGTCAGAAGCTCATTCATTTCTGTCACAAGTGTGTTCAGATTGCCCTCTGCCAGCTGAATGAGCCTCTCTGGGGCTCGCTGTGGGGACAGCAAGTGCTGAAAAAGATTTCATCACATAACCATTTTAATAAATGCTCTTGCAACGATCATGGGGTTGAACATTTAACAGAACCCATTTTTTTTTTGTATATACACAAAGAACTTGGCCTTTTCACCTTCAAAGAAAAGAGAAAAAATTATTTCAATTAGGCTCTACACACTGAGTGCCATGCCAAATATTCAGGCAACTAATAAACACTGCAGTAATTTACTGAGAACTTACTATGTACCAGGCTTTTTAAAAAAAAAAAAAAAATCTCACATCAGCTCTATGAGGTATATGTTTATCCCATTTTTTGAATGACAAACTGTGGCTTAACATTTGCACAAGATCACACAGCAGGTAAGGGGTAGAGTTAAGATGAACTCTTTGACTCTTTAAGGCTCTGAAACTAGGCAACAGAGACACAGTTAACAGGCTAGAAAGAAAGCAGCAGCCTGTGACCTAGGCAACTGGCTAGGCACTTACTAACTGACCTTCCCTCAGTGTGGGGAGGAGCTGGCCTCGAATTCACAGCTGAGCCTGTTCCTTTCCTATTGAACATGAATAATCACACAAGACACTAACATTAGTCAGGGTCATGTTGAGTCAGTAAGGAATGAGATAAAAGAAAAAAAACAAAAACAAAAACGAGACCACTCTGCAATGTTGTCTAAGCACAGAAAAAACCATGTTTTTGCTCAGATCATATGACTACCCAAAACCCCATTTACCGACTAATATAAGTGACCTCGTCCTCTTAACTAATCATGGCTTTCGCCTTCCTCTGTTCACCTCACCTTCTAGATAAGACGCATCAGAATACTCAGTTATAGAATTACTCCTATTCCTAACAGCATCCAATTGCACACTGCCCTCAAGTAACCAAGCACAAGCCCAAATGCCATAAGTTATTCCTAACCCTTTCTTACTGAGACACTAAGTCCCCGTGGTGTTCAGTGCCCATTGTTACAACAAGCTAATACATCCAACCTTGTTCTATCCCATGAGTGTTCTTGGTAGTCTTTGGCTGAGTGTTGGCACAGTTAAAGAAATTGAGTTAAAAGGTTAAGTAACTTGTTTAAGGTTTCAAAATATCAAAATGGGACCCAGATGGTATCCAGATATTTCAAAAATTATCGAAGAAAAGCACAAACACAGAATCAAGAAAGACTGGAATGTAAGGACAATCAAGGACTTTTAGATCAGGACCCATACAGGGATGGGTGGCTGAATCCCTCGGCTTAGATGGTGCCCACAGATTGGAGCCTCTTCCATAGGGTCCTTAGTACTCTACTGTCCATTGTGTAAGTGTTAGTTTTGCAATGCTTTATGTCCAGCTTAAATGTCTGCTTTTCCAGTTTAATTTATTTTCCTCATATTCCCTCTGTACACAAGGGAAGTAACTGGTCAGCATCCTTTTGTTAAAACTTTTCACATCCCTAAATACTGGGTAAACTCAAATTCCCCAGCCTGGTTTACGAGGCTGTCCTTCATAGCACCCAGTCCCACTGAAGTTTCCAGCCTTATCTTTCACTGGCAGGCCTGATTTGTAATGTCTGCCAGACAGGCCTGATTCACACTTCTGTTCCTGCTCACGTGCCTCTCTGGCTCTCTTAGGCATAGTTTTCTCCTCCCTGTGTCCTCACATGGCAGCAACATCCAAATACTGTCATAGCGAGGGTTAAGACTTGCTGTGGTCAGGATGGTTGTGTCCCCTCACATATTTATGTTGAAATCCTGTGACCCTACCATGATGATATTAGGAGGTGGGGCCTTTGGGAAGTGATTACATCATGAGGACAAGTCCTTGATGTTTGGGATTAGTGTCCTTCTTAAAGACATCTCAGAGAGCTAGCTATCCTCTTTCACCAGAGCAAGAAGTCACCATCTATGAGGAATGGGTCTTCACTAGACACCGAACCTGCCGGTGACCTGCTCTTGGACCACCCAGCCTCAAGACTGAGAGAAATATATTTCTGTTATTTATAAATTAATCTGTTTGTGGTATTTTGTGATAGCAGCTAAAGTGAACTAAGACAGGATTTCAATATATACATTTTAGTAAGACATAACCATTCAGTGCATGATAACTGCTTTCCTACTTGGAGTTTCTGTAAGTGCTGTGCATGATAATCCATGTCAGGCTTCAGTCCATTGCCCAGTTTTTAAATAAAATATGATCGTTATTGGTTTCTTCTGGAAAATAGGAAAAATAACACTTACCTTAAAGGTTATGGTCAAGATGAAAGAATATACTCCTTAGAAGAGTATCTACCAATGCCTGGAAAATAAATCTTAGATTTCATTCTCCAGTCCTAACCAATGAGCCTCTGTCTATTAAAATCGTGTTTATGCCTCAAATGCCTAAAACACAAATTATACTCTCATTAATGGTGTATTCCCTCGTTACTCTGGATCTTACTATGTCTCTTTGTATTCTATTGCACTTTGAGTTTTTAATGAAACACATGGTAATTATGTATTGTTGTTCATTGCTTTATTAGAGTTTAATAACTATGTATAAACCATGGTAGAATCTAAGCTTCCTAAGGTGGTAGTCATGAAATCACCAAGGAACCAAATGCAGTGCTGAGACCGTCTACAATTTCTCAATAAACCACTGATAACTGGCTGTGTGCAAGTTGACATTTCTCATCCTTTTTCATCAAGTGAAAAGACCCCGATTTCCTTAACATTTCCTCCTACTGGCTACCAAAAGCTTTTACAATGTTTTAGAACAATGTTTTTCAAATCGGTGCTTATTGAAGTACTTTCAAAGGTTTATTAGTTCTGTAGTACAAAAGTTTAATATTGTGTTTTTATTTTGACAGTACCCTTAAATATTAATGTAAGCATTTCTGGATCCTGAGTGAGGCATCTGAAAGAAGAATACATCCAAGAGAATACTGAGAAGTCATGTGAACTCAGTGCCCACATTCACACGTGTGTTTGCTCATAATGCAGACTGAGCAAGTAAGTCACGTGAACTTGTCAAGAGATGCCACGTGTCATTTCAGGACCCCTTGCAAGGGCTCTCTGGTTCAAATGTGGAAAGGTAGGAGAACTGAGTTCCCATGTCACCAGCTGGTGAAAGAACCCATGTGGAAATAGTCAATATCCTATTCATGTTCCACGTAGCAATTTCCTTTCAGCCACAATCATGTTACTTTACATTAACGTTTTTAATTTGAATTTTATTGGCTTTGTAGGCATTTGTAAAGATTAATTTGTTTTAATTTTATAGATCTATAAGTATAAGGAGTTCATACTTGATTTTATATTTGCACATATTTAAGTAACATCATCAAACTGATTTACGCCAGACACTGGGGGGTACATGGGATTATTTCCCCTTAATAGAAATCTGTATATTATAGATCTCAGTCTGAAAAAAAACACTGGTTTAGAAAGTCTCTGAAGTTCCCCAATAGCTGTGTCCTTTGATTTGGGGCAGTGGAAACAGCATTTACTAATTACGAGCAATATCCCTTAGGAGGCCTCTGCCACCCTGACCTTGGCTTGGGTTGTTACTGCATTAACCCACCTTTAGCTCCTGCGTCCTGTTTTCAAGACCATACAGCATTTTATATGGAGCAGGCAGCGGGCCGGTGAGGTTGATGCTCGTGACCATCTGCTCCAGGCGAGCCAAGTCACCGAGAAGAAGGCCTGTGCACTCATCGCCACAGACTGTGAAAGGAAAGCGACAGAGAATAGTTACTTCTGCTCAATATCCCAGACAGATGTTCAAAGATTTCAGTTATGAAATATTTTATGGCCCAAGAATAATTCTGTGAAAGATGAAGCTCCTCATCTTAGATAATTAATGCTGTTGAATGGATGATGGCTGAAAAAAGATGAGAACAATGAAAAAGCAGATAAGCCTGTCACCTGGAACCTGAAATATAGGGATGATATCAATCGAGGGACAGAGAGGAGGAGCAAGCGGATTTGGGGGAGGAAGGGAGAAGTGTACTGCGGAAGTATTAAAGTTCTCCTTAAAGACACAGAATATAACCTTATAAATGCCCCCAAATCTACATATGAGCAGTCTAGGGGAACCCGTACATAAGGAATAAAGCACACTACGGGGTCTAAAAACATGTGCAAATGTGTATTGCTACATTAGATTGCACTGCAGAGTCCATAGCAGTTGGCCTCCACAAGTTTTATGTGTTACTTATTAAAAAATGATATAAATGTTTAGCTTGCTCTCTATTGAGCAGAATTAGTTTTTGAAGACAAAAGGAAAGAACTTTTCCTTTTTAGTGTGTTGTAATTATGACGATATCTACTGACTGACTTATTTTGTCATTTCTTCCTCACTAGCCCTCCAGCACAGGATCTCCCAGGATTAGATGCATTCTTATGAGCTCCTACTTTGATGATTAACTTTATTCAGTCTTGGAGATAAATAATTGCTATGTGTCAGAAAAGTGTTCTTCTTTAATTAGCTAAAAATGTCAATGTCCTTCTGATGATATTTTTGGCGACTAGAGAGGTACTATTTAAATTTGGTGGTGGTAAAGCAGGGTTGGTGGTAGAATGGGAAGAGAGAAAAGTGAGTTGTTCTCTCTTCATTATTAAACATCTCTTAAATAGTAGTACAATTTCTAAAATGAACACATTGATTCTTTTGGAAGATTTTTAAAAAGTACACATTTCAGTTTAGTTTTACATTGCAGAGTAATGAGGTGTATCATCATGCCAAGGAGCAAGAACTGCCATAATTATGAGATGCATTCATGTGTACAGTTATAATTTCTATCTTACATTCTGTAGATAGAGATATCAAAGCTATCCACATGTCGGCATCGATGAAAATACATACCATAGAAAATACCGGGATTTGGAACAGCTCTGGATCATGCCCAAAGTTGGCAAGAATTCAATTAGCTCCCTAAATAGCACTCCCCTGAGCTGCTTAATGGAGAGAAAACCATTAACTGAAGCTTGTAAACAAAGAGAAAGAGTGCAGAGGGTGATTTTTTGATAGGACAGCAGCTAGAGGTGAGTTGCAATATCCCTTTCCAGGGACTAAACTGTCCCGGCAGGGCTCTTCATAAATCAGCTCTTTGCAGGTGACACCTGTGACTGCAGAGCGTCATCTGCAGGGATTTTGTAAGATCCTGATGCTTTACAAGCTGAGAGAACAATGAGGTTTTGGAATCAGGAGCAGAAGTCTGGAACTAGACTATATCTCTCACCCTTCTCCTAGCCAAAAGGAAAGAACATTTGTGCTGGGTGGAAATTAAGTAAAAGGAAGATAGCATCTGGCTTCATACCCTTGTTCAATGTGAGTTTCAACAGACCTGTCTACATAAAGTGATTATGGAAAACACAACAAAGACACAATTAAATGCCAAATGGATCATGTCTAAACACCAAGATTCACTTGGTTCTCAGGAGGTGGTAGAGTCACCTGGTGTTTTTGGTTTTTTTTTTTAAGTTGGAGTCTCACTCTGTCGCCCAGACTGGAGTGCAGTGGCCGCTCCCAGCCACTGCAACCTCAACCTGCTGGGCTCCGGTGATCCTTCCACCTCAACCTTCCAAGTAGCTGGAACTACAGGTGTGCGCTACCACGCCCGGCTCATTTGTTGATTTATTGTAGAGATGAGTCTCGCCAAGTTGCCCAGGTGGGTCTCGAACCCGCGGGCTCAGGCAATTCACTCACCTCAGCCTCCCAAAGGCGCGGGATTATAGGCTGAGTCACCGAGACCAGCTTCACCTGGTTTCTGATTCTCTGATTGCGAATGTGCTTTCCTAGCAATCTCCCAGGTGACACTGGGACCACTGGTCTGTGTGCCACGCTTTAAGTAGCAACTGGACCAGCAGTATAGTCATCACCTGGTGGTTTATTAACAATTCACAGTCTTGGGCTCTACCCTGGGTCCAGGAAATCCGAATCTGCTCTTTAGAAAGGTCCCATGTGATTTACGCACATTAAAGTTTGACAAACATTGCTGTGGATCAGCAGTTTTCAACTGTGGCCACACACTAGAACCATTTGAGGATTTATAAAATAACAGATGCCTGGGACCTTTCCCATCTCACCTGTAGAAAATCTGACCTGATGGGTCTGCAGTAAGGTCCAGGCATTTTTAAAGACTCCAGATTATTCCATCATGCAGCCAAGGATCAGAACCAGTGTACCAGATACTCAATCAATCTTAAAGGGAGTAAAGATGTGGAGGACGTCCCTTTACTTGCTGTCTCCTCTACCCAGAACTCTTATTCCTCCGTCTTCACTCACCTGGATCCTAGGTGTTCAGGCAGAGTATTCAGCTTGCTCAAGTGTTACTTCCTCAGAGGGAAAGTTCCTGATGATTCTGAAATTACTGTTACTGGAAATACCCCTTAGTCACACTGCATTTCCTTTGTTTTCTTACCTTAACACTCATGCTCACATGAGCTACCTTATTACTTTATTTATATATTGTTTCTCTTTCAGAAAGAAGGGACCTTAAATACCTTGGTCACAGTGCCTAAGAGATGGTCTTGCACACAGCTAACATTCAGGAAATATTAAATATTTGTGCGCTAATATTTTTTGTGAAAGTAGAGAAAAAAATATTCTGGACTAAAGGAATGGCAGGGGTTGCTAATTTGGGCATGTTATGTACCCAAATGATGAGGTGATGAAAAGATCAGGAAGGTAGAATGTTAGGAGAAGAGGAGAGAGGGGTTGGGGATAGGAAGGAGGGTTGGGTTGGCCAAACAGAAAACCTCTGAATGAGAGAATGAGCTGGAGAACCTCACAGATGTGTGAGGAACCTAACAGGTTAAAAACAGAGAAAGAAGGAGAGAGAAACATTGTTTTGTGATTAGAGAGGCAAAGACTGAGCAACAAGGATGACTATTATAATGCTCACCTGAGATAATTCCATTTTGACCCAGGAAAGGGATATTGGAGAAGGAAGTAGGTACAAAATATAATGAGGAAAGAAACAACGCTGACCAGATCTAAGCAGTGCTCTTTTCTGGGGGGCATTAGAGACAGTTACAACTCCTTTGCTGCTTCTCCCATGACTAGATAGAGTCTACTTCCCTTCCCCTTGAGTTGGGTTGGCTCCGCAACATACTCTCAACAACAGAATGTGGTAGAGAAACATTTTAACTTTTGCAGTTTCCACTTTCACGCTCTTGGAACCCCAATGCCTCAAGAACAATTCCAGGCTAGCCTCCCTGAGGAAGGGAGGCAACATGAGAGAGAGAAGTGCATGAGGCTACCCGGGGCTCTCCCAGCATGGCAACGGAAGAACCGTCCAACTGAGCCCAGCCCAATTTGCCAACCCACAGAAACTTGAGTATGTAAACACTCATTTTATGCTACTAGATGTCGGAATGGCAACAACAGATAACTGATGCACTTTCCTCAAGTTTTGCACATGTGCTATAGGATGTGGATTCAGATCAGAGACTTTCAAGTTGTGATTCATAAGTTAAAAACAAGCATTAGTAACAATTTTAACTTTATTAAGAATTATAAAGAATATGAGGAATTATAAAGAATCATTGTTTTAAAAGTTCCATTTGAATTCTAATGAAGATGGAATTTTTGCCAGATGTTCCTAGGATATAAGCAAGCAATGTGTTCCTTTATCACTTTCAAGATCTTGAAAGATGCTTGATAATATGATGTCTCATCATAATTTTTAAGGCAGTGTGTGCCTTTCTCTAATTTATTTATAATGTATAGCTTACCTATTTCTAAGAAGGAATTGAGTCAGTTTGTTGATAATGGTTTGGCCAGATGCTCCTTACCAGATGGCTGCAGAAATTTCCAGAAAAAGTACTCACAGTTTTCTCAGTTTTTACTCACACAAGAATAAACCAGGGACTGGAATGAAGAACTAGATCTGATTTACTGTAATATACTATGGAATAAATTGGTGCACTAGAATGCCAAGAGGCAAGATGAATACTGATTTTTCTCTCATTTATTCTATACCCTACCGATCTGTTTTGGTTCCTCATCTTCAGTTGTTGAAATAAAAATGTATTTAATTGCTTTTTCAAGGGCTCATACATTCTATTTTATGCCTCTGTGTCCAAAGTTCTATTATTATCCCATGTCTCATGGTCTCTGTATTTGCTTTTTGGGGAACAAAGGACAAGCACATTTCCATAAGTGAAAGGTAAGTTTTATAGTATGCACCAAGTAATATACTAACATCTGTCTGAATGGGTCAGAAAGATTTATGAATATGACAGCCATGGGGATTTTTTTCAAGGCTTCTGTACAAGTCTAGCACAGTCTAGCTTCTGTACAAGGCTTCTGTACAAGTCTAGCCTAAAAATCATGATAAGGCATCATATTATCAATGCAGTTATAAGGTAAGCATATAGGGAAATATACCCTTTACATAAGGGTTTGCTATTTTATTTTAACACAAAATATTTTACTCACAGTGCAAGCTACTTTTATTTGCCCTCAAAAAGTCTGGAATATCTGGCAATAAGAATCATTCTAAATGGAATGCAAATTAAAACCAAATATAATTCACTGTAATAGGGAAGATCAGAAGCATCTATAGAGACATGGAATATTCACATTATATAAATAATTATTCTTTGATAAAGGTACAGTAACAGCTCATGTAAACAAACAACTATCTTATAATCAGAACACTAAAGAACCTCTCCAAACTATTCTTCTAATTCAGCAATATAGATAAGGTTATAAAGTG